CTATATAGTAATTTCAACCAGGAAAGTTTAATATAAAGAATTTAAAAAAATTTTTTTTTAATTTTTTTTAAATTTTTATTTATTTATGATAGTCACAGAGAGAGAGAGAGAGAGAGAGAGGCAGAGACACAGGCAGAAGGAGAAGCAGGCTCCATGCACCGGGAGCCCGACGTGGGATTCGATCCCGGGTCTCCAGGATCGCGCCCTGGGCCAAAGGCAGGCGCCAAACCGCTGCGCCACCCAGGGATCCCAAGAATTTTAAAAATTTTTTAAAAAATATTTTATTTATTTATTCATGAGAGACACACAGAAAGAAAGGCAGAGACACAGGCAGAGGGAGACACAGGCAGTGGGTCCATGCAGGGAGCCTGACGTGGGACTTGATCCGGGGACTCCAGGATCACGCCCTCAGCTGAAGGCAGGCACTAAACTGCTGAGTCACCCAGGGATCCCAATATAAAGAATTTTTAAAAATATTTTTTAAAATTTTTATTTATTTATGAGAGAGAGAGAGAGAGAGAGAGAGAGAGAGGCAGAGACATAGGCAGAGGGAGAAGCAGGCTCCATGCACCGGGAGCCTGACATGGGATTTGATCCCGGGTCTCCAGGATCGTGCTCTGGGCCAAAGGCAGGCGCTAAACCGCTGCGCCACCCAGGGATCCCCCAATATAAAGAATTTTTAAGTAAAATTTGGAAATGGAATAATGAGGAATCAGCTAGTAAGAAGTGAACAAAATTCTATTTTTTAAAAATTGTATTTATTTATGATAGGCACACAGTGAGAGAGAGAGAGGCAGAGACATAGGCAGAGGGAGAAGCAGGCTCCATGCACCGGGAGCCCGACGTGGGATTCGATCCCGGGTCTCCAGGATCGTGCCCTGGGCCAAAGGCAGGCGCTAAACTGCTGCGCCACCCAGGGATCCCCTGAACAAAATTCTAAATAGCTGGTATTAAATGTCAGCCACTATCCCTAAGGCTAAGATACGGTGACCAAGGAAGAGCTTCTCCCTCCTAATACTTCCCACCTGCTTACAAAAGGTGAGAGATAGACTTTGTTGGAGATTGTGGGGCCATGGCCTACAGAATGGCAAAGAGATCAATGTGATTGATTGATCTCCCAGATTGCATTGACAGAACTTGATGAAAATCTACTCTCTGGATATTGCCAGAAACTTGCCCTCTGGGGTGTTGAGGAAAGTTGTTCATGCAGAGGGTGTCTTGCTAGGGGTAATTTCTGCTATGAAACTGCCCAAGAGGTGCTGGAAAAGCTGCTGTGTGTTGCTGACCACTGTGCACTGCAAAAACTGGGCACTAGAGAAGTTGATAGTGCTAGGTATCTGCGGAGAGAGCACTCTGTAACCAGGAAATAAAATTTTCTCTTCCTGCACTGTTTTTTCAATGCTCACCATTGGCAAAGCTTAATATTGTGCCAGGTGTGGTAAAGAGAAGATTTTTTAAAAGATTTTATTTATTTATTCATAAGACACACACACACACACACACAGACAGAGAGAGAGAGAGACAGAGAGAGACAGAGAGAGAGAGAGAGAATGAGAGAGGCAGAGACATAGGAAGAGAGAGAGAGAAGATTTTTAAAGGGCCTGGCTCCATTTGTACAGAGCCTGCAATAAAATACGAATTTTGGGCTGGGAAGCAATATATTGATAATTGGCACAAGTGTGTCTCTTGTAGGAAGTATATAGTTGGGTCTTACATTTTTGTTTGAGTCTGATGATCTCTGCCTTCTAATTGAAGTATTTGGTTCATTTATGTTTAATATAAATTATTGATAGATTTGGATTTAAGTCTATCCTTTTATAATTTGTTTTCTATTGGTTTTATGAGTTTTTCAAAGTTTTTTTCTTCTCTGTTTCTATTTTTTCACTTTTAAAAAGTAAGTTCTACACACATTGTGGGGTTTGAACTCATGACCTTGAAATCAAGAGTTGCATACTCTACTGACTGAGCCAGCCAGGCTTCCCTCACTGTTTTCTTGTAAGTCAATTGGGTATTTTTTAGAATTCCCTTTTATGTTATTAATTAAAAAGATTTTTTTTAGATTAAACTCACTGGGCAAGTGAGTCATTTAACTTTCTCTTTCTTTTTAAATTTTATTTATTTATTAATTCATTTATTTATTCATAAGAGACACAGAAAGGCAGAGGAAGGAGTAGGTTCCCTTCAGGAAGCCTGATACAGGACTTGGTCCTGGGATCCTGTGATCATGACCTGAGCTAAAGGCAGATGCTCAACCACTGAGCCATCCAGGCATCCCCATTTTATTTTTATCTTGGCTTTTTTTTAGTTTTTTTTTGTTTGCAGTTTTGTTTCAAATGGTTGCTGTGGGAATTACAATATACATCCTTAAGTTTTTAGAGTCTACTTAGAGTTATGGTACCACTTCACATAAAATATAAACATTTTGCAACCATACGGTTTCATTGACCCCAATCTTTTATGCCAGAGGTTGATGAAGTGTGGCTTTTAAGCCAAACCTTGCTCTGATTGCTTTTGTTTAATTTTTATACAACTACAGCCATTCTTTTATATGTTGTCTATGCCTGCTTTCATATTATGATGGCAGATTTGAATAGTTGCAAAAGAGACCACATGGTTTTTAGAATTTAAAATATTTCCCCCAAAAAAATAAAAAATAAAAAAAAATAAAATATTTCCCATCTGGACCCCTAATAGGGAAAGTTTGTTGATTCCTGCTTTATGCTACAGTTGTCATGTCTATTAATATAAATATGCTATAAATACCACAATACTGGGCAGCATGGGTGGCTCAGCGGTTTAGCGCTGCCTTCAGAGCAGGGTGTGATCCTGGAGACCTGGGATGGAGTCCCATGCCAGGCTCCCTGCATGGAGCCTGCTTCTCCCTCTGCCTGCATCTCTGCCTCTCTCTCTCTCTCTCTCTCTCCCTTTCTCTCTGTGTCTCTCATTAATAAATAACTAAAATCTTATAAAATAAATACCATAATACTTCATTATGCTTTTTATTTAAATAGTCAGAAGTACTTAGGTAAATTAAGAGAAAAAATAAGTCTTTTATATTTATCCATATATTTACTCTTTCTGGTGCTCTTTATTTCTCCCCAAAGATCTGAATTTCCATCTGGTATTATTTCCCTTTAGCCTGAATTTTCTTTGTTAGCATTTCTTGTGGTATTGTTCTGTTGGTGAGTTCTTTTAGTTGTCATTTATATGAAGAATTCCTATTCCCTTTCATTCTTAAAGGATATTTATGCTGGATATAGAATTTTGATTTGGAAGGTTTTTTTAAAGATTTTATTTATTTGAGAGAGAGAGAGAGAGAGAGAGAGAGCAGGGAGGGAGAAAGAATCTGAAGCAGACTCCACACTGGGGGCAGAGCTCCATGTGAGTGAGACTTTCAATCCCACTACTATGAGATCATGACCTGAGCTGAAACCAAGAATTAGCCACTTAATCAACTGAGCCACCCATGCCCCTTGAGTTGGAATTTTATTTTTTCGACTCTTTAAAGATGTTGTATCACTATCTTCTAGCCTCCATTGTTTCAGATGAGAATTTAGCTATTAAATATGTCCTTGTAATAGTGAGTCATTTTTTTTTCTGGGTGCTGTAAAGATTCTTATCTTTATCTTTGATTTTCAGCAGTTTGACTGATATGCTGAGGTGTATCTTTTATTTCTTCTGCTTGGGTTTTGCTGAATCTTCCTGAATCTTCTTGAATTTATGTCTTCACCAAATTATGAAACTTTGGAGACATTATTTATGACACTTTTCTGGCTTCTTTCTCTCTTTTTGGTCATTCTCAGGTTCTAATTATATGTATTGAGATTGCTTGACATTATTTTACAGGTTTCTGAAACTCTTTTCAATTTTCTTTCTCTGTGTTTTCAAACTAATAATTTGTAGTTTGCTGACTCTTCTGCCATTTCAATCTGTCCATTAAGTGCAGTTTTTATTTTGTATATGTATTTTTTCAGTGCTACGATTTCTATTTGGCACCTTTTTATAGTTTTGTTTCTTTGCTTAGATTTTCTATTTACTCATCTAGTGTTGGTCTTTACTGATTGCAGCTCATTTATTGGTTGCAACTTATTATTGTGAAATGAAATTGGAAGTTGTAATGCCTAGCATTAAAATATTATTTTTTAAAAAAGAAAATGTAATATGCATCATGAATACCTTCTTTTGTGAATTTGTGTGTGTGTTTAGTTGTTTTGTAACATGTGTTTCTTACTGTGATTATGGTCTAAATGTTTGAAAGACACCAGCTAGAAGGTAGATATAGAGTGGGATCTATTTCAGTAGAAAGACCTTGAGTTCTTAGAGCCAGAGTTTCCCTGAGAGAAACAAATCTATGTACAGATGTGTATGGGGGCTAGAAGCACTTGATTGCTATTTGCTGAAGCTTGGCTCTCTGCCTATTGTTAAAACATTAAAAACATTAAAGTGGTGTTTCTTGGACTTGGCTCAGCAGTTCCCAGGGCAGATTAAAAGCAGATTTCTTTTCCAAACAGGTGCCCCCAGGTCATCTCTAGGCAAAGAAAAGTTTGGGAACAGAGGCCCACACTAGAGATTATCTTCTGAGAAAGAAATGGTAATGGCTACCATTCTCTGAGCTTTGTCTTTGAGAACTGAAACCAGAGAGATTTAGTAATCCACAGCTTGGAAGTGACAGACCAGAGACACCAGTGAGGACTGTCTGACCCTAGGCCCTAGCTCTGAACCACTGAGTGGGGCAGTCTAAAACACCAAGTCTGCAAAGAGCAGGAAGTGGGTTACCAAGCACTGGCTTGGCTGGATTCCACTGTTAGCTGTGTGACCTCAAGCAATTTTACAAGTTGTCTGGGTTTTGATTTTCTTCTCTGTAAATGAAGGTCTTATGACACTTCCCTGTCAGGTTTTTGAGGGGTGTGGACTGTGTTACATGCTGGGCAAGTGTTAATTAATATCTGTGTTCTGTCCTTTTATCATGCTCTGTCCTTTTCTCAAGCTGGGACTGTAATGAGAGGTGCTGGGGAGATGAGAGGCCCCTTTGCAGCCAAACATGGGGAGAGAGGAGCTTAAGAGGTAAGAGGAGCATGCTCTGAGACTGCAGGCCAACTCCAGAGGCTGGCAGACAAGGAGAGGAGAATGTGGAGGGCCTGTTTGCCTGGGAAGGCTGTTGCAATGAGCTGCAGAGGGCCTTCATAAGGCTTCCCTGAGCCAGTGATCTTCATGGGTTCAAGGCAATTGGCTTTTGACTTGGTTGAATTGCATTACCAAAGTCAAGGTGTTCCGTTTCCTCACTGGGGTGTTCTGAGGGTTTTTATTTTGAAGTATATCAATAGTTTCAAGTGAAATTGTTGTAGAAGGAGGGCAAAGAATCATTTGATTACTTAATTTTCATGTTTACATAGCATTTGTTTTAAAGTAGTAAGAATCTAAATTCCAAATGTGGTTACAAAATCAGCCTCCACTTAAATTCATAAGTGCATTTTAATGAAGCTTAATTTTAAGGCATACATTTGCATATTGGAATTTGCTTGAGCCAACTTTTAGAGTATGATCTCCAGAGCACTAGTTTTCTAGTGTTTTTAGAATGTCGCAGTTCTTTCTAATTGCTTTTTATGGCCTGGAAACCTTAGCTCAATTGGTATAAATCTTAGCAAAATGGGGAGGATCCAAATTAAACATTAGTTATAATACAGCACTTTTATAAGTCGTTCTTAGAATGTTCTTAGGATACCTTCGAACCCAAATGTCACCATTTTAGAATAGTGTGTTAAACATACTTATTCTACAGCTCATCTGTATTTAAATCAATAGGCATGAGATCTTAAAATAGCATATGATAATTTGCCAAGTGAGAAATAGATGGCTTCCATTTTCTATTAATACCTTCATGCAAAAATTAAGCTATATTAATACACTTATTACAAGTCTAACAATTTCAGAGGGGCTTTTATATATATATATATATATATATATATATATATATATATATTTAAAGATTTTATTTATTCATGAGAGACACAGAGAGAGAGGCAGAGACACAGGCAGAGGGAGAAGCAGGCTCCATGCAGGAAGCCCGATATGGGACTTGATCCCAGGACTCCAGGATCACACCCTGGGCCGAAGGCAGATGCTCAACCGCTGAGCCACCCAGGCGTCCTGCTTCTATAATTATATAAAATGAGGTTGATTTATTTTATTTTATTTTTAAAAAGATTTTATTTATTTATTTGAGAGAGAGAGAGAGAGAGAGAGAGAACGAGTGGGGGGACAGGCAAAGGGAACCCAGCATGGGGCTCAATCTCCAGACCCTGAGATCATGACCTGAATGGAAGGCAGATGCTAAACCAGCTCAGCCACTCAGGAACCCTGATTTGTTTATTTTAAACCTTTATTAATTGTGAACTATAACACACAGAGAAAAGTGCATGGAACACAAAGTATGAATAATTATAAAGTAATGTAATTATAAAAAGCCATGTGGATCCCTGGGTGGCGCAGAGGTTTGGTGCCTGCCTTTGGCCCAGGGCGCGATCCTGGAGACCCGGGATAGAATCCCATGTCGGGCTCCCGGTGCATGGAGCCTGCTTCTCCCTCTGCCTGTGTCTCTGCCTCTCTTTCTCTCTCTGTGTGTGTGACTATCATAAATAAAAATTTTAAAAAAATTATAAAAGCCATGAAAACGCCACTCAGATCAAGAAATAAAAGTCTGCTCTTACCTTGAGTACCTTTTCCATGTGTCCTTTCCTGATCACCTCCTTCTCAATCTTCCCCTTCCACCTAGGTAACAATTACCCTGATTTTTATGATGATCACGTCTGTGATTTTTTTTAAAGATTTTATTTATTTGAGAGACAGAGAGCATGAGCAGGTGAGTGGGGCAGAGGGAGAGGGAGAAGAAAGCTCCCTGCTGAGCAGGGAGCCTGCCACAGGCTCGATCCTAGGACTCCAGGATCATGACTTGTGCTGAAGGCAGACGCTTAACTGACTGAGCCACTCAGATGCCCTCACTTCCTTGATTTTTAAAGTTTTGCCTGTTTTTGAATTCTATACACAGGGATCCCTGGGTGGCGCAGCGGTTTGGCGCCTGCCTTTGGCCCAGGGCGCGATCCTGGAGACCGGGATCGAATCCCACGTCGGGCTCCCGGTGCATGGAGCCTGCTTCTCCCTCTGCCTGTGTCTCTGCCTCTCTCTCTCTCTCTCTGTGTGTGTGACTATCATAAATAAATAAATTTAAAAAAATTGAATTCTATACACAAATAAAAAAATACTAACAAATACTGACTTCACAACCTAGCTTGCTGACACCAGTGTAAGCCTGGCTGGGTAGTACAGTCCCCAGGGAGGCACATCATGTATGCAACTGAGGCATCCAAACCATAATCTTGAAGTTAGAGCTGTAACCCCATGTATACGGGGACCTCCCCTAACCAGCCCAGGCCTTTTACTTAGCTCACAAATCTGCATATCCATGGCCCATCAGCAACACTCTGAGGCTTTGTTTTCCTAATATCAGTCTGAGAAAAATCTTAGTCTCTTGATTTTTAAGTGACTCACCCCATTTCTTATCCTCTTAGTGTCATCTATCAGAGCCTAGACTCCATGCTAGATAATGTTCCCCAGCATGGTAGTAATTTTTTTTCTCATTCTGTACTCAATCTTTTGTCTTAGAACATACCAAGGTATTAAAATATTACTTAATGCTACAGAACGTATTCTTTTACATGTCTCTTTTGCTCAATTCCTTGTTTATAAGATTCATCCGTGTTGTATGTAAAGCTGTAGTTTGCTCATGTTCACTGCTGTGTAATATTCCAGTATGTAAATATATCATTATTTATCCATTGTATTACTGAGGGACAGAGGATTGTCTTCATTTCTGGTTAAGAATATTCTTTGGCATGTCTCCTGGTACACACATGTATACATTTGTGTTGGATATGTACTGAGAGTTGGAATTGATATATCATAGGATATATGTGTTTTACACTTTAGTAAATAATTCTAAACTGTTTTCCAAAGTTGTTGTAGTGTGTATTTGTGCAACAGATTTTATTATTTATTTTTTTAAAGAGATTTATTTATTTATTTGAGAGTGAGTGTGTGTGTGTGTGTGTGTGTGTGTGAGCAGAGAGAGGGGCAGAGAGAGAGAATCCTCAATCAGACTCCCCACTGAGTGTGGCAGGGTGCAGAGCTCGATCCTATGACTCTGAGATCATGACTGAGCTGCAATCAAGAGTCGGATGCTTGACTGACTGAGCCACGCAGGCATCCCTTTTTCTTAATGATTGTGCAATGGATTTTTGAAAAAAGTTAAATATGGAGAAATAAGGGGTGAAATATATCCTTCTTCAGTATGCATCTGTTGATTTCTGTCTTTAAGAACTGTCTGCTCTAAGAGATCAGTGTAGACGGGCTCAGGCGCAAATGAAGTGTTCCACATTTAGTATTGCTCCCTTCAAGTGCTGCTGGTGGCTTTTCAAGGAAGACTAGTGTGATTATTGATTGATAAGACACTGGTAGATAGCTGGGTAGGTGTCTTGCGCAGGAGCTAATGGTTCTTTTCATAGCTCCTGTGCTCTGCCCAAAGCAGGAGGCCCCTTTGAAGGTGGCTTTTTAAAATACCTGCTTACCTTGGAAATGTACTCACTCCTGGGGTATGGGTTTTGCTCTGAGCGTTTCTCTTTTCTCATCTGATGTTTCAGTTATGAGGGAAGGCCTCATTTAAATTCCCTGCCCTGAAGGCGTATAGGTGGCTCAGTTGGTTAAGCATCTGCCTTTGGCTCAGGTCATGATCCTGGGGTCCTGGGATCAAGCCCTGCGTTGTTAGCAGGCAGCAAGGAGCCTGCTTCTCCCTCTCTCTCTGCTCCCATCCCCACTCGTGCTCACTCTCAGTCACTCTGGTCTCTTTCTCAAATAAATAAACAAAATCTTAAAAAATAAATTCATTGCGCCAAAATTATATGGCTTGTTGATTTGTAGTGACTAGATCAAGAATGATTCAGAGGAGTGGTTTCCCATTTTTTTAGGATGACAACCTATTTAAACTTCTATTATGGACTTTTCTGAACGTAGACATTCTATGGATGTGGTAATGGCATTCTGTTTTATATTCCTTTTAAAAAAGTGCTGGATTGTTTACAATATCTCCACCTCCAGCCCCCCCCACCACCCATATTCCATAGCAAGCTTCATAATTTTTTTTCTTTTTTTTCATAATTTTTTTCCTAAGAATACAAATGAAGGTAGTGGAGTGGAAACACGGGGACATGAAAGATGCTTTAACTGTGAGTTCCTGTCTTAGGTCTGCTTCTGTTGAGATAGGTGCCTTGGGCAAGCCATTTAGCCTCTCTGATTCTCTGTTTATTTAGTTCCTAAAATATATGAATAGGATAAGATAATTTTTAAAAAGATATATTTATTCACGAGAGATAGAGCACACATGCACATAGGGGAAGGGCAGAGGGAGAGGGTCTCTAGCAGACTCAGAGCCTGGAGCCCCCCTGTGGGGCCCGATCCCACGACCCATGACATCATGACTTGAGCTGAAACCAAGAATCTGACACCAAACCGACTGAGCCACCCAGGTGCCCCTGGGTCAAATAATTTTAAGGCCTTTTCTGGATCCCAAATCTAAAAAGTTCTCTTATGGCTCATAAATAAGCTCACCTTGATGTTTCCTTTAGGTTAAGGATGTAACATTGGCCTAACACACAGTAGAAACCCAAACCAACCTGACAAAAGAGGGTTAGGACCCTTTTTGGTGAGTCAGAGGGAGAGCAAGGACTGGATACACTATGGCAGACTCAGAATTAAGAATAATGAAGCATAGGAGCTCCTTGTCAAGGTGTTTTGCAAGATTTCCCACACCAGCAGGTTTAGAACAAGAACCAAGGCCCAACATGTTTTTCCTTCTATAGACCTTTATAAACCTTCTAAACTCTATTCCCTAAGTCAGCAGTCAGCAAACCACAGTTCAGGATCTAAGGATGGCTTTTTTAAAAAAGATTTTATTTATTTATTCATTAGAGACACGAGAGAGAGCTGGAGGCAGAGACACAGGCAGAGGGAGAAGC